TAAAACCAGTACCCTCTAGAGGCGATCACATCATTTTTCCAGTAACCAAGCCAGTGAGATTTAATGGAGATTTAATGGGGTTTAATGGAGGTTTAATGGGATTTAATGGGATTTAATGGGGTTTAATGGGATGTAGTGAAATTGAATGATATACCCTCTGGTAAACTAACAGTTTGCGACATAGAAAATGGCCCAGTCGACATAGTTGATTTACACCTTAAAAATGGTGATTTTCCATAGTTATGCTAGTTTACCAAGAAGGGTATCATATTCGGAATGGTGACATCACCAGTCTTTGCTCAACACATGTTGTCGCACTTTGACTCTTCTTGCTTCAACTCCAGTTTTTTTCTATCAAACATGGGGGAATATGCTGCAGGCTGCAGAATACCCCTTTCTGAGGCCAGGGTCACCATTCAATAGGGATACTATCAAATCAAGCTCTGATGTCAGACTATCATTCAAAAACATTCCAAAACAACATTTTAATTCTGATATGAGTTTGGGTATGCTTTGGAATGTTTTGGAACGATTCAGGAATGTTTTTGAATGTTTGGCATCTCCCTCTTGCCATGGCTTGCATGCCAACTAGCTGAAGACTTGCAGTTTTTGGGAGTTTCAATCTGACCCTGACTTGGGTTGTGGTGTTGGCTTGGGTGTCAGTTCAGGTTTGCTCCGCCCCCATTCTAGGTAAATGATAGCCCTCGTGGGGGTCCTAGGGTGTTGGGAAGCCCCACCATGAATGCAGATCGTTAAAACCGAATGGGAAACCATTGGTTTTCCACATCGAAATTAAAGTCACCATTCTTACTGGCTAAATCACCATTATAGTTCAATAAATCATGTTTCCTGGCTACAGTAAATCAGTATTGTCCCTAGTTCAATTACCATTTGCCCTAGTTTAGTCATAATATGTCCTGGCTAAATCACCATTGCCCCTGGTTAATTCGCCATTTTCCCTAGTTAAGTCACCATTTTTTCCTGGGTGGAACTAGCCTCATTTCTTTTTTGAAGGCGGCCGAAAGCTGAAGAGGTTTCTGCGGCGGAAGGCGGTCCTACAAATCAAAATGTATGAGAGAATTGGAGTCAACTGGAAAGTTTGGTACTTAAACCATCAAACCATGTATCACTCAAGCTGGATTCCAGTTTGCAGAATGTTTGATGGTCTTAACTACCAAAAAGGGTAGCTGGTTTTCGACTTTAAACCAGCTAAATTGAGAACTTTCACCATCAAAAAGTGTCCCTCCCAGCTTCTTGGGTTTTCGTGATATAATATGATAAGATATTATATATCAGGCAGAATTCATATCAGAATATTTTTTGACTGCCTTCGGATCACTCGGATCAGAGTGATCCGAAGCTGCCCAGGTTGACCATGCCAGGCATAGATGGCAGAAATTCTTGGAATAGAAGAGCTATATATCATTAAATATCCATGTTATAGCGGATCTTCGGATTGGTTCTCAATAAATCTTTGGATTTGGTATCAAAAAATATGCTGCATGGGTTAGAAAACTGCATACCATGCGGTCCTTCTCGCCATTTCACCGAGAAATTTCCAGCGGTCATATCACATTACATTAAATTAAATTAAATTATATATTCTTATTTTATATTATATATTATAATAAATTACATATAATAATATAAATAATTCTATACAATATGGGATAATAATATATATATATATATATGATATAATGTAATACATATATATATACATGATATTATAATATACATATACATCTTCTGACATTTTATTTGACACATATTTGGACATTTTATGGCATGTATTCTGACATTCTATCTGGCGTGTTCGGGTCCAGGGGATCAGAGATCCCTCAGAGATATCTGGATAAGACCTATGAAGACCTCACTGCGAGATCACTGGAATGATGCTGAAAAAAATACTATCTGGTTATTTAACATAGCCATGGAAAATGGCCCATTTATAGATGGTTTACCTATTAAACATGGTGATTTTCCATGGCTATGTTAAATAACCAGATGGTAAACCAATAATTAAACATTGTCTTATCCAGATAGATATTTTCACATGGCGGAAATAGATCAAAAACTAGTTTTACAGTAGTAAGTACATTTCCATGATTTCCCATATTTTCCCATATTTTCCAATGTTTTCCCATGTTTTCCCATGTTTTCCCATGGAAAAAAAACCCATGGGTTTCCCAGTCCCAGTGTCATGGCCATGATTTTGCCATCCCATGGCTGCCATGGTCAAGGTGACAGCTCTCCGAAGATCATCTGCTTGAAGGCCCAATTTTTCATGGCCGAAAAACCCATGATGTAAACCCAAGATCCATCGGTGAGTTTTTTCCCCCACTCCAATCATCGGTGAGTTAGAAATCGTGGAAAAATGTTCCAAAAATTGATGCAGTTTTTAGTTAGTTATCTATAAAAATCCCCCAAAATTGATGCAGTTTTTAGTTAGTTATCTATTGAATCTATTATAATTAAACCATTCATAGTGATGTTGATTTGCCCATTTTCATGGCGAAACCCCGTCCACGCCTTGGCCGTTCAACCGAAAGCTGTCCCTAGAGATCTTCAATAACGAATACACATGGACGATGATATGATTGATCCTGGGAAAACCATGGGAAAACCATGGGAAAACCATGGAAAAAATGGTGATTTATATAGTAATCAATCACTGGTTGGTGGTGACTGGAACCATGGACTTTTATGACTTTCCCATCATATTGGGAAGAATCCCAACTGACGAAGTCCATCATTTTCCAGAGGGGTAGGTTGAAACCACCAACAAGATGAACAACATTAGATAAACCCAGTCTCTCTGAAATTCTTTGCATTTGGGGATATCCGTTTTTTGCCACACAAGACTTAAAGGTTGCTGGTGTTTCTGGCACCCAAATTTCGGCAAAAGTAAGAAACAGGTGTTGTTTTCCCACCAGGAATCATGTGGTGTTTTCTCTAAGATGCAGATATATATATATATATGTATATATATGTATATGTATATGTATATATATATATAACTTGAGAACAAGAACGATGGGGTTGAAATATTATAGATGTGGAGATGGGAGATCAAACAATTAAAACATGGGACATGATTTGCGCGCCGAAAACACACAGTTTGACTGATCCAAATTGGGAGATTTTCCCTCAGCATTCCCTATGTTTGATTTAACTAAATGCAGTTGGATCATCGCAATTTTGGTTTCACATTTTGACCATTTTGACCTGCACTGAAAAATTCCTAATTGAGATTGGTGTTGCGGGAACTCTACAGTCAACATCTGTATATTTGGTGGTACCCTCTGGTAAACTAACATAACTATGGAAAGATCCACCATGCTATTAATGGGAAAATCCACTATTTCTATGGCCATTTTCCATAGCTTTTTGTATGTTCACCAGAGGGTTTTTTCACCATGGTGATCTGACCATTTTGCCACCGATCCATTGGATGAATGCCATGGTTTTTCCCAGGGAGAAACATGTTTTTCCACCATTTGCTGGCCAAATCGAGGTAAATCCATGTACCCTCTGGTAATTTTAACATAGCTATTGAAAATGGCCATTTATAGTTGATTTTCCCATAAAAAAATGGTGATTTTCCATAGCTATGTTAGTTTACCAGAGGGTAAATCCCCCGAAGCCCATGAATTGTTGATGAAATGAAAGGAAATCCATGGGAAATCCCATTTTGCGGGTGAAGTTTCCGCTTCGAAAACATCAGCCATGCGCAGCTATGATGCGGTCGTCAGGATGCTTTGCTATCTTTCCTGGATGGTGGGGGACCTTAACGAAGTGATGGAACATAATTTGCACGGTGGTGCCCTTCAGTTATGTTTGTTGGTTTATAACCCCAACTAACCACATAAATTAATACATTTTACTATATTACACAATAATATATATATATATATGTATGGTATACCATATTATACATTATATATACATAAACACATTGATATAATGTATAATATGGTATACCATACACACATATATACATATATATATATTATATTGTATAATATAGTATAATACAGTATAATATAGTATAATATATATACATCATAAAACCAAACGTTCTTGGAGTCATGTTCACCAACCCATGGGCAATGGGTATATCTGAAAATGGGTTTTTATGTGGTTGAAACTGGCTGCCATTTTTACCAGCCATCAACTGAGAATGGTTTCTACATACCACCTTTAAACATGGTGATGACTGGGGGATGGTAAACATGGCATTGTTTTAACCACATGATACCACCAAAATGGATCAACATGGCATATTCTGAGAGGGAAAATGACGATTAACCAGTGGATGATTTTTCATCTACAGTCACCGACAGAATTATGGAAAAAAAACCGTTTCAATTTACAGGCGCCGCCTGTCTATGATAGAAAAGTTACGAACCTTTTTTTTTCCATAATTATTGTTTCCATAATTATTTTTTTTTCCATAATTCTGTCGGTGACTGTATGTCCATCGATTCGCAATTTGAATGCATTTTAAGGGGGAATATTGAATTATAGAAAATATGTGTCTAAAGATCTGGTATATGCCCCTAAGTCTTCCATTGATATACATAATATCATGTGATGTTCGCAATTTGAATGCATTTTAAGGGGGAATATTGAATTATAGAAAATATGTGTCTAAAGATCTGGTATATGCCCCTAAGTCTTCCATTGATATACATAATATCATGTGATGTTCGCAATTTGAATGCATTTTAAGGGGGAATATTGAATTATAGAAAATATGTGTCTAAAGATCTGGTATATGCCCCTAAAGCCTGCCATTGATATACATAATATCTGGATGTTTCCTTTTGCCAAGCCACCAATTGGGTTGATACTACATACTTGCATTTGCATACATATTTCCATAACCCCAAAAAAAAAGGGTTTGAATTGTGGATCCATGACATGTCCAACAGGTGGAGCCCCAAACATTAATTATGGAAAAAATAATTATGGAAAAAACCGGTCAATCTGCCCTAGCCCCCTGATTTCACAGGAAAAATCAATTATGGAAATAATGGCCACCTCCAAGAATTATGGAAAAAAAAGGTTCGGATCACTTCCGAGATATTTTGAACCCTTATGGGGAAAAATCCAATTATGGAAAAATCGGACGCAGGCGCCGCCTGTCTAAGTTAAACGTTTTATTTTTTTCCATAATTCTGTCGGTGACCATATGTCCAAACCTGGGAGCCGCAAATCATAGAAATAGCCACCCAGCCAGCTCAGACTACGTGAAGGTATACACCCCAATGCCCCCTCGGTCTTTTTGCTTATATATATATGATGTAACATATATATATGTATATGGATGGATCAATACCTAAAATTATAATGTTTAGGGGAATGAACATCTGTTTGCCAACTATTTTAATGTGAACCACAGGGCTACAAGGTTTTGACTCATCCCTATACATACATATGTATAATCCACCGTTTTTGTTGATTAAACCAACATCTTTGTTGGTAGCTTGCCCCCCATGGAACACACTCCCGCCTATCACTGCCTATCTCAACAAAAAAGGCTACTCTTCCAATCCCCACATTTGGCAAGGTCCATGTTAATTGGAGGGAGGGTAACTTCCAAGTTTCATTGATGATAGGCATTCCAATTTTTAGCTGTTGAAAGCCAATCTTTGTGGCTAAGTCCCAATTTCTGTTGGCTAAAATCCCACTTTGGCTGGTGAAACCCACATTTTTGGTGACAGTCAAACATCATTTTTGCTGCTTAAACTCCAATTCTGCTGGATAAATCTGATAAATCCAGACCTTTTTTTGCTGCTGGTCGCCTCGCTGTGTCAGGTCGCGAAGGTTTCATCGCCCACATCAACGAGATCAACAACGATCGGGGCTTGAAGGAGGTCTGGAAGAATGGAGCAGTTGAGGAGAAATTCTATCATCATCCTGGAGATAAAATACGGAAACAACACGCATTAAAATGGGAATGGGTTTGAACATCCCAATATTCTATCTACTTCAAGATGATTATATATATATATACACATATATAGCAACCCCAAACAAATAGAAACGTGTTTCCAGGATGGCAGTTCGATGATGTTTTTCTTTCTTTTTGTTTGTGTATTTTGGATGTGTCCAACTTTTCAGCGCTTTTTTTTAAGGTTGCTATATACCCTCTGGCAGTTCAACAGTCTGCTATGGATAAACGCGATTTAGCTGGAGGATCTGATTGCGAAAGATAGTGATAGTGATTTTCAACGGGAGCTTTGCGAAAGATGAATGGCAGGTGAGCGGTTTTTTAGAATCCTTGGTGTTGATTGATCAGCCTACCTGGGGATTTTCCAATCGGTTTTAGTTCCACTGCCCGTTCGTGAACGCCGACAAAAATGTTGGTCCACGTTCAAAAATGGCAGTTTTTTTCAAGCAACATTCTTCTCTGATCATGAACATATAGCAGTTTATCGACTCTTAAACTGTAGGCCAAACATCATGCAATGACACTTCGTTCATTCGGGGCTTAGATGGATTTCAAGTGACCCGCATGGCAGTTATGGGATTCCTTGGGGCCATAAGTTAAAATTCAGCCGCGTGAATTTTTTGGTGGAAAAAAAAACACATTTCTAGTATCACAACTTGATTCATGCCATTTTTTTGTTGATTTTTTGAAGATCTATCCACCATATATATATATGATAACTGGTTGGTGGTTTGGGACATGACTTTTTTCCCCCATATATTGGGAATGTCAATTTTCCCAACTGACGAAGTCCATCATTTTTCAGAGGGGTAGGGCTCAACCACCAACCAGATAACATATCCCGATGTACCATCATCTTCATTTTATGATTCGGTTCAACCAGCAGATTTCGTTCTTCACCCGGCTGGGCCCCCTTTTGGAGGTGATGGCTGCACAGCCGAAGCCCATGATGGCAATCAATAAGGCCGATCAGCTCCTTGAGAATTTCAAGAGGTAAAAAAAAGACCAGGTTGATTTCAGCGATTTCATTGAAATCCACTAATTCTGTTGTATATATATATATAAATAATATAATATATATATATAATATATATATAATATATATATATAATATATATATATAATATTATATATTATATATTATATATTATATATTATATATTATATATTATATATTATATATTATATATCATATATTATATATTATATATTATATAGAATATATTATATATTATATATTATATTATATATTATATATTATATATATTATATATATTATATATTATATATATATATATTATATATTATATATTATATATATTATATATATTATATATATTATATATATTATATATATTATATATTACATATATTATATATTACATATATTATATATTATATTATATATCCCATTATGTATGACTATTAAGGACTTAATGTGATTTTATTAGGGCACAATCAACAATTATAGGTCATATTTTTCCAGCATGGCGACAGTTATTAGGGATTCTGAGGATTAACCAGTGGAAATATCACAGGGAGAGTGATCCATGTACTATGGAAGAATCATTGGGATTTCAGCATTATGCCATTCTTGTGTCTATCAAATAATTGAAAAGTGATGCTTGATGAAACATCACCCAACTTTGGGAGGAACATCTCCAATACTGAAACATTTGAGGGGGATGTTCAAAGTCCCGGAAGTGAGACATCTACTGGTCCCTGTATCAACGCACACAGAATTCACAGGATATGCAAAAAAGGGATATCATGTATATCATGGCTAACATTGTCATCAGGAAACTTTGCAGGCTTGAGACTGGTGATCAAAGATCGATGACAACTTGGGGAAATGTTGGGGTCGTGTTTGCCTTATCCCAAAGTATCAGTAGTTGATATCTGAAGATGCAACAGCTCAAAATGTCAACCCTTCTTGCAGCATGCCCGGTTTTGTGCAGATTGACAAGCTGACGGGTTGCCCATAGCCATTTGTTGCCCCCTTTCGGGCATCGTTCATTTCAAAAAGGTGGACTACACATGACAATCCAATCTGCCATGATACATACACATCTTTTTCAGACCCCAGATGATATTATAAGTATATTATACCCCTCACTCCGAAAACGCTCCCCAGCATACATGTTTAAGGTCATTTCTTTCATCATTACGTTCTCCCTTCAACCCATTATTTTCGGAGTTTCCCATCGCTGACCCCGAAACCTGGGTAGCAGTCTGAAAATGGGGATACTGCAGCAGGCACACAGTGGTGACGTATCGGGCTCAACTCAAACACCAAATGTAGAAGAGCGCTCAGCTCTGTTTTCACCGGTTGGACGCAGAGTCCAAAGTCAGCAGCCCATAGGTCGAGGCTGGGTCTAATCTATCAAAGAAAAGGGGCCCCTCCTGAGCCAAGCATTGCAGACAAGGGCCAGTGGTCGAACATGAAGTCGAAGTGGCGAACCTGACATGGATCAGTTGCACCAGCATAGAAAGAAAGATCAGGTTTGCCACTCAGGTAATCGTCGATCTGGTTGATCGCTGTCTTTCCTTCCTTTTTGTTCTTCTTTGAGGCAATGAACTGTGGATCATATTTCACAGCCCACAACCATGTTTTGAGGAACTTCTGGAGGCCAACTCGACAGTCTGGACGCTTCTTTGTCAAACTGTCACCCAGGTCATAGTCACTGGCTACCCAACGTAGTTTGGAGCCAGCACGCTGAAGATATTCTCGAAGTTGAAGAGCTTGGAGAGCAGAGCGAATGTTGCTCAGGCCAAGGAGAGGACTCTCATTGTAGAGCACTGCATCGAAACCACCTTTGCTGTCAGTGCAAAGAAGTCCTTCTACTTGTTTCACCATCTCTTCTGAGAATTCCACTTTGTTGGCATCGCGAGGACGAGAAAGTCCAGCACCATGAATTTCGCACCAGAGAAGTCGGGCGCGGAAATTCCAATCTTCACCTTCAAGTACTGCTTGAACTTCTGCATCATTTGATCCAAGAGCCTTGCGACGAAGCTTCCAAGTTCGCCAGGCCAAAAGAGACATAGGACAAACTTCTCCTTTAAGAGCTTCAGGACCACTCATCAAAGTGATGATCCCACCAGTTGAATCACCTTTGTCTCGATTCGCATGCGCTTGGTCAGCCATTGTTATGAAGCAAACATCGCGCCAGGTCTTCGCAGTTTTGTGCTTGAAGAACTTGAGCTCATAGGATTCACGGCGAATTTCGCCAATCATACGTTGAATTTCCATGGCATAACTCATCTTCCCAAACTTAATGACTTCAGTGAGGAGGAGATTACAACGAGCACAAAGTTGTGGCTGAGTTTGTATTGCTAGCCATTGTAGTGCGCCAAGAGCACCACGGCAAGCTGCAATCTCATGAGAGGTCATTCGTGCATCTTCTTGTCGTAATCTATCTGCAGAGATGTCAAGGTCCGGCAGGGAGTCCACATAGTACTGCTGGTTGACGGTGATGACAAGGTCGCCATCGTTGTCACGTTTCACCTGAACATCAGTGCCAGCATGACGATATGCAGAGTGTTTGGCTGTTCCCCATCGGTACGCTGCATCTATTTTTCTGCAAACTTCGTTCCACTTTGCATTGTTTGAGTCACCAGTTCGGTGAAAGTCATCCACATGGCCGCCCATCATGCCAATGGTGAAGGGTTGCTTGGTCTCGGGGTCTTCATCATACCAAACCCAGAGACATCTTTCACCCAAGGCAGGATATCCGCCAAGTCCAGTGAGGGTCTTGTGCAGGTCGAGCCATAGTCCACGGGGAGCAGTAGTGCTACCGTAGATGTTTCGCATGACTTTCATTATGCCATTGGTGTCAAGTCCAAGTGCTGATCGAAGTTCAGCTACACCATAAGTCCACAAGTTGGCATCTGCAGACGTAGGAGCCGTCTGGAGAAAAGCAGTTGCTAAATCCAAACCTTCAAGTTGCCACGAGTGTTGACAAGTGGCCTGGTAGAGCAAGTTGCGAGCCAACATAGACTGCACAGGTGAGGACGTTTTGTAGTCCACATTGCCAATCTCAGGATGTTCAAAACCTAGTAGCACAATTCGTGCTTTCGCCTTCTTGAGACCATCTGAAGTATGTGTTGAGGAAGGATTCGTTGAAGCATCTTGTCGCGCTTCATCTTGATCTTCAGGAGGCACAAGTTTCCAGGTTAACACCCAACGAGCGCGGACAATGCGTCCACTGCCCATGGCTTCTCGAACTTCATCATTTCGGTGGCAGGCTTTCACTGCTTCATTCTTGAGGAAGCTGTCAATTTCTTTCCCCTTGGCACGTGCAAAAAGTTCACGATGTTGAGGAGACAATTTGCTGAGAACCACTTCAGAGTCACGCATCTTTTTGACCAGATACGCAGTGGGGCTTCTGAGGAAATTCTTGAACTGCCGATTTGACACAAAGTCCAAGTCAAACTGCATGGAGAGACAATCCAAGTCATTGTCAACAACCAGATGGTAAAAGTCCAAAAGTCCATCATCTGGCTGATGTAGTTCCTCCACCCATTTGAGGTCATACTGAGAGGAGTGTTGTTCCCTCAGCAGGGTTCTCATGTCTTTGTCATCGTTGATCTTTTGCTTCTTCGGGTCTGGTAGAGGTCGAGGAGAAACATCATAGTCGTTGACATCGCGCTCCAGCAGCTCTTCAAGGTCAGGAGAGTTAGAAGCCGCAGGTTCCAGTGCTGCAGGTTGAGAAGCACTGCCAGGTTCAGGTAATAATTCAACATCATCATCACCTGCTTTGGGCTTCCAGTCATCTGGAGTCAAGGATTTCTTGCCAACGATCTTGGAACGTGGTTGAAGTGCAGGATCAGAAAAAGTGACGCCTTTCTGGAAAACCTTCTTGGCCTTCTTGGCAACAGCTGCAGGCACAGCCGTTGATTCATCAGGTCGATCAGGTAGGTCTGGATGCTCACATTCATCTTCACCAGGAACCTGATCAGTGATGTCAAGGTATTCGCGCTGAGGTAGGACATCAGCCAAGGATTTCCATTTGGTGACGTCTTGTTTGTCACACACTTCAAAAGTGACACGCTCGGTGTCGGTGACCGGTCTCACCGGATGAGCACTGCATCGCAACAGTTGCGATCCCACCAACACCCATAGGATGTGTCTTCTCTCATCGCCTTCTTCTTGATGATGAAGAACTTCATGGAAAACAACACGTCCAGGCCCAATCCAGTGAGGTTTGATGCTTCGCTGAAAACCACCACGTCGGCCAGGAGCAAGTAGGTGTGCAGGCCATTGTTTGCGCCAAACCATGACTAAGTCCATAGGTTCGAAGGTGCGCAAAGGCTGCTTCACGCTGGAGTTCTTGAGCTTTGACATCACACGTAGAGCTCGGGTACGACGTGCAACTTCTTCAGCACCTTGTCGAGCTCGAACCAGGGCCTCATACTCAAAGTGCTTGGTGGTGTCCGGCAAGCTGGCAAAGGTTCTGATCTCTTCATCGGTTATGGTGTAGTCCTTGCCATAGCACCACTGAAGCGAAGAATAGCCCTTGGTGTACTCAGTACTGTTGAGAGCCGCACACGCAAGTTGAAGAGAAACTCCAGGAGGAAGAGTTGGTTGTCCAAGTTGAATTGCAGAAGCCGTCATCTTCACATCTTTGATTGCTGATTCAACAAGTCCATGAGCCCATGATTCCTTCTCAGCCGGCAGGCTAAGTTGGATGCCCACATTGGTGAGGAACTCGTTCACGTCGGTGGCCGTGAAGACAGAGGAGTTGTCAGGCACAATAAGTCGGGGTTTCGGCTTATCGGCCAGCCACTTTTCAGCAGTCGCCTTGATGACATCTTCAGAACTTTTGGACAACATTTGCGTAAGTCCATACGATTTCACCACATGCACCGCACGTAGTTTGGTGGCAAAGTCAATGAGCAAAATGAATTTGATCTTGATCTTCTGGTCAGGAACATGCCATTCGCTGGAATCAGCTCCAACGATTTCCCATGCCTTGCACAAAGGGTGTGTTGACGCCCTTGGTACTTCACCTGAGCTTTTGCTGCCTTGTAGAAGTCGATCACAAGCATCACATCGAAAATCGCGAGCCATTTCAATCTTCCATTTGGGAAGTCCAGCATCTCGGAAAAGGTGGATCAAGTTCCGATTTGATGGATGTCCTGCTGCACGATGGTAGTGCTGCAGTTTGACATGCCATTCTTTTCGTTCTTGTTCACTGATATCATTGCCATGTTGAGGAGCTTCAAGTATAGAGGGTTCATAGCCGTCAGACAAATCACCATCATCAGGTACAGGAGGAAGAACTTCTTCAACAGGTAGAGCTTGAAGACGTTGAGTCCACTTCACATCACACTCTGCATGCTTGGAGTTCACCACAGCGTCAGGAGAAGTCAAAGCTTGTACATGACGTTGAGGAGCAAGTTGGTTCTTCCAATGCCGCACAATTGCTTCCACCATCCGCACTGGATAGTATGCAGAGCGAGCTGTTTCAATCCCCTGTATGAAAGCATGTTGATGATTTCGAGGGCAAACCTTGCACTTGAAGTTGCGATGGAAGAGCTCATCATTGGTGCGAATCTCCCAGCGCTTGTGGATAAACGCTGAATCATCAGAGTTTCGCATCCCATAGTTGCATCCATCGATTCTGCAGCGCTCCCATGATTGGCCACGTTGCAAAAGTCCATGCTGCAGCGAGACCATAGGAGGCTGAGACCATCCAGAACATGGAAAAGTCCACTCCCAGTACACATCAATGTCTGGGTCGTCATCAACAGCATTGAGGATGAAGTCCTTGGCATAGTGCATCATTCGACGGTCTCGTCGACGAAGATCTTCGAGGACCGCCTTGCGCTCATCAGTGTTGTAGTTGACATTGGTCCATTGACACCAATGAGTGCACGGTAGTGAGAGCCAAAGTTTCTTGGGACGCTTGATCTTCCGCAGGCGTTCCATCTCCATCCATGCAGACTTCTTGTAGAGGTCAAAACCTTGCTTATAGTTGATCCTTCTGGCAGGTAGACCATGGTTGAGAGCCGCTTGAGTCAGCCAACTGTTGTCAGCACATGCAATCTCCCATAGACATTCACGTCCATCCATGGCGATCTTCAAGGCGAGGTGACTCATGGTTGCTGTCATCATCGTCACCATCTTCATGACCTTGGAGCCCATCGTAGTGGTCAATGGTAGGCTCGAGGAAGTCATTGGCTTTCCTCGGTGAGGATGACTTCGTCGGGTGGTGTCATCCCCTTTCTTGCAAGCACCAGGTTGCGCAGGTCGATCCTTTCCTGTTCGGTCAGGAAGTCCTCCAAGTTGTGACGATCTGGTGAATCCAGAATCGGATCCCAGCTGCTGTCGGAAGGACTTGTCATCGGTGAGCTCTGGTCCATGTAGCCCATGGTGACAACCATCTTCTTCTCCACATTCTTTGAGGCTGCCTTGGACTTTGGAACCTTCAAGGAGTTCTCGACGTTGGGCTTTTCCAGCAGGTACTGAACTTTGTTGTTCAGCTTCTCCTCCGCGGTGATCTTTTCCAGCATGGGCAGAGTTGCCCATCTGAGCCATGTTGTGGCCACATCGAAAAAGTTTTCGCAACAGCTCTTCACGATCATGTTTAAGAGGAGAGGATGTAGAAGAGGAAGAGGAACATGACTGCTGAGTGGTATAAAAGTCAAGAGGACGAAACTGCAAAACAGGTTGTGCAAAAAGGGGATCAGCTCCAGTAACAACATTCACTTGTGCATGCCCTTCTGCTCTGGTTTGACCACGTGTGAGATAGTATAAAATATCGTACATATAGTGTTTCTTCGGATTGACTGGTAGTTGATATACTTCAGGATTATCATCAACGCCATCCATCGCTAAACCAGATCCAAAATCAACCAACATTTGACAACCATGTGCACCAAGATGATCCATGCCAATCAAAATAGGAACGAGCTGTGACTTGTCAAAGTTGGGCTGGTAAAACTCGATTGGATTTGGAAGTGCATACAATGAGAACGTTTTCTTTTGACCAGAAACATCCGAACAAATTTCCAGTTTGTACCTAGCTCTGCCCCACTTCCCATTGCCGAAGCGAAAGTATGGCCGCTGCGCTGAGAAGATGTTCACAGTCGCCTGTCGATCGTGAGACAAAACAGCTATCACCAGCTCCTGGGCAGAAACTTCAGGTGCTGCGGAGGCGGTTGCTCCACAGTCCAGCATGCCATGAGCTTGGGAAGCCAAAGAGCTAGAGCCAGTGCTGGTTGATGCCTTCGTCGTTGAGGCCAGTTCCATGCCATAGAGTGCGTAGGCATTCACGGGGTTCTTGCTAAAGCCCTTGCCATTGCCATCTTTCGAATGGTAAGGACTCTTGCCCTTCCCAGAAAACTTGCCCTTGGGGTAGTTCCCATGACGTCTATCAGGACAATCCCTAACCAAATGGTTACCACCACAATTGAAACAACGACCATTGTTGACAGTGTTGACATGTCCAAAACCTCGATCACGTTTCAGTTGTTGGGTTGTTTTCTGGGCCTCTTGCCAAGTGCGCCTTGCTTCGGCAGCTAACTGCTCAGCAACCTGTTCAGCTTGAAGAGCATCTTGAAGTCGCTCTTCCTCGTCGGGTGACAAGGTAGTCTGAACTTCCTTGGCAGAGGAGGTTTCGTCGGGCCATTCATGTTCATGCCATTCATCATGATATTGACCATCATTCCACCAACCATCATCGTTTCCCCAAGTCCACATCTCATCATAGTTAATCTCATAGCCATCATCCCATCCATCATCATGCCATTCATGCCATAGAGCATTGTTAGAACTTCCATGACGTCCAGCATGTTGTGAATATCGGTGGCCAAGCAACTGTTCGTCCCAAAGTGCAGACAAGGCTTGGCTGATGGCTTCGAAGTCCAATTTGTTTTGAGTAGTGGACAAAATGTCTCTAGTTTCTTCTGGGGTGAGGCTTGCAGCCTTCAACAAACGCCAACCACGTAGGACACCCATGATAAATGAGTCTGCCAAAGAAACTTCTGAAACATCTTGGGGTATTTTGGGCTTTCCCGGATCACTTTCAGGTCCTGGCGCAGAATGCTCAGAGGCCGCACCAACTCGATGACTCGGTGAGGAGCCTGGAGCCGCACTTACAGGAGGTTCAGCGCCTTGCTCAGGAGAGGATGCAGCTGCCGCAGTAGCCGCAGGATCATGCTGATGTTCCGCATCACCAGTAGTGACATCCATGCCCCCCATATAGCCATACTCATAGTCATCATCCCACCAATCCCATTCAGAAATAGGTGGCAAACCAAAATTTCTTTCAGCAGGATCAATACCGGTCTGTTCTTCCCATAGCCGAATGAGGGCTTCAGAAAACTCTTCATATCCCAAAGTTTCACGTACCAAGAAATTTGCCATTGACTCACCAGGCTGTCGCCTAAATCCCAGGTATTGTTGAAGAATTGCAGCTGTATTTGGTAATGTCTTTCGAACCAGTGGAGAACCAGCTAACTTCTTCAAAAGATTCAGGGTGCCGTCCGGAGAATCAAATTCTGTTCTTGACCATGACATAGCTAGAAGACGAGCAGGACCAGATAGTCTTGAAATCAATTTGGAGGCCACATATCTACGTTTTTTTGTGGGGGTCGATGCAACAAACCATGCAACCTCTTTTGTGTATCTACGCCAATTTTTCGCCTGTCCATCCCATGAAGGAACACTCTCATCACTGCGAGTCGCCATTGCTGCAAAATGCAGGCTTGGAGGCAAAAGTTGATCGTCAGGATCAGGTCAGTCTCCACTTCGCCTTCACGAAGTCAAACTCAAGGAAAAAGCGCTAAAATGAAAATGAAAGCTCGTGCAAAAAGAATCCAGGGTTGCCGTTCGGCAAAAGGTCCACCGCTGCAAGACACCGGCCAAGATCACAAAGGCTAGGTCGGGTCGCAGCAGGTAGCTAAGGTCCCGGAGCGTAGGTGCTCCGCTACCAATGCAGCAGGCACACAGTGGTGACGTATCGGGCTCAACTCAAACACCAAATGTAGAAGAGCGCTCAGCTCTGTTTTCACCGGTTGGACGCAGAGTCCAAAGTCAGCAGCCCATAGGTCGAGGCTGGGTCTAATCTATCAAAGAAAAGGGGCCCCTCCTGAGCCAAGCATTGCAGACAAGGGCCAGTGGTCGAACATGAAGTCGAAGTGGCGAACCTGACATGGATCAGTTGCAGATACCCCTAAATCCCACCTGGTTTTTCAATGTAAAAATCCGACCATTTAAAAACGATGAAAAACAGAATTTCCAGACATACCCATGATTCAAATTGTTGGTCATATCCCATTGTATTCTACTATATAACATTATATAACCATAAAATGCTTGGTTCAATCGCCAGTTTTTTTCCTGGGTGATTCCCTCCATTTTTGGAAGCAACATTCCTATTGTTTCGATACAACGAAATCCCTTAAATGTGGTAAAATCACATCAAGCCTCCACAAAATGCAATTAATCCAATAGAAATATGTAACAACATTGTTGGTTTAATCCTCAATTTTGAACGGCAAATCCGACCATTTCTTGGATAATGCGCCATCAAAATTGGTGGCCAAAAAAGCAAAATGTTTGGTAGCCAGGTAAGTCTCCCTCATATAAAAAACGTCGGTTTAATCCTTCAAACTTAAACTCCATTTTTGAAGGTTTAGTCATGAAACATCAGCCAGCAGTCCCAGTTATGTTTGTTGGCTTATCATCTAAAACCCCATATAATCGTTGGATTTTATCCCACTTCAATCCCATGAAATGGACCCCCTGAAAAAAAAACACCATGAATTCCATAACAACCACCATAAATCCCCTAAAATCCAACAACATATCAGCAAAATGCTAGGTGTGGCTGAAGCAACACAAGGAGGATTTTAGCTTGTTCCGCGCCAGCGACAACGAGATGTACGTGGCAAAGACCGAGGCGCCCCCAACGGGGCGTATGGGGGAAACTGCGAAGTCATGGGGGTACCCAAATATCGTCCGAGTCATGGATGGGCATGACTTAGTGACGACTGAAAGCCATGGAAAGCCATGGGTTGGGGCTACCGTCCATGTTAAAAGCTTCTAATGAATGATGATTGTGAAAATTGTGATTCTGTTTTTCGGATTCTGGTCCAAAATTGTAAACTGTTTGTATCTTGTATTTTGACCTGAAAACCAATCTTCCACCTGTGCACGGCCTCCATTACGCATTTTGATAGTCATGAGTCATAATTGCAGTATTTGATCATCCTTTTGTGGGGATATACAATTTTGAGCCAGGCAGCCATTCCCCAATATTTTGATCTCTTTTTCAAGATTTTGGTAGGAAATAAAAGGGGAACTTCGACAGAAAACAATGGGAAATCCATTATAAGTTGATTTATCTTCTCCGGCAACGGTCCTCCACGTAGTGCCGGAACTGGAACATTGACATTCTCGAACCGGAACATCTACTGGAGGGCAAGTGATCTCCATGTCAAATCATTTTCAGATTGCTCGATTGCTCTCTGGATTGGAACATAGGAACCAAACTTAAACTAAGGGAGGGCTGCCGTCCACAGTGGCAGAGGAGTCCCCAGAAAGAGATAGCGCAAACCTGCAAAAACCAATGGTGCTGGGCCCGTTTTTTTTTCCCCCACCAACTGCACCCCTGCAATATCTGGCAATAAAATGCAATACCCTCTGGTAAACTAACATAGCTATTGAAAATGGCCCATTTATAGATGGTTTACCTATTAACAATTGTGATTTTCCATGGCTATGTTAAACCAGATGGTAAATTCAACTGGATCCCTGTTTTCAAAGATCGAAGTAAGCCAGCATGAAGTTGAGCAAACCAGTGCTGGCTGTGACGATACCAGGTGTGCTGCAGTGCTCAAGATTTGGTGGTTGAGACACGCTTTGACCATTCTCGAATAGATGCTTCAAATATCTTAAAATAACTATATCTTTACCTAGCGGAAATCAACCGAGGTTCACGCGCGAGAAGTCCTCCAAAGTAGGGGACCTAAGGATTTTGGCCCAAAAAGCCTTTGGACTGGCTGACTTCCTGAGGCTTGTCACTGCTGAAGGCCATGTGCTGAATGATCCAGAGAAGTCACTGGAAGCCGCAAGGCTTTCAGAGGGAGCTGGAAATATATCGTGAAGGTGTACGCCTGCGCAGATAGCTGCAATAAGATGCAGCTATCTGCGCAGGCGTACACCTTGACGATATATCGCTGCAACCAAGGAGGCCTCTGCATTTTGGTCTCCCGGAAGCGACAGAATTCTTACCTGGGGCCATCCAAAGGTTACTGGTCGCTGTGCAGTCCAAGACAAGCTTGGGCCAGTTCGGATGGTTTGGGGCACTGGGCCTTGGCGCATTTGCTGCCATCGGTTGTGACATGGGGCGATCCAGGTTGGGGCGGGTACAGCTTGCAAGTCCAAGATCGGCTCAGAGATGTCAGGCAAATTGCGGCCACTAATCTTGCATTTGCCGCGATCCTGGCGGATCTGTCGTAAAAAGGGGGCGAACCAGACTTTTTTATGGGCGACAGCTCTGTCCAAAGTCAGCGAAGGTGCAGCACCTTGATTTGCTGAGTTTTTTTTTTTCCCCCAATGGGAAATCCACCAAACATGGGGAATCTCTAGGGATTTTCGAAGAGAATTCTACCTTGGCTTCCGAAGAAGCCTTTTGGTAAACATGGAGCCTGCGCTGTCTCTAAACCTGGGATAAAAAGAGCTGCGAACAGTGTGGTGGTCGTTGTATAATGTTGTATAGCTCATAAACGGGTAGTCGGACAGTAGTCGGACGCTTGGTTTCACGGATTTTTTCTCCTGATCCTGTAACAGTATCCATGAATGGAACCATGAATCCATCCATGATTCTTAGGTGAATCACCATTCTTTATCCTCTACATTCCAGCAACTTAGTGCGAACTCCCAAGGTCTGTAGAATATTGTAGAATGTGTGTGCTGCTAAAACGGCTCTTCGGAAAAAAGTGATCGTACTTGTTGGTGCACTTGGAATTAATGAAAATAGGAATTAATGAAAATAACTATGGGCTTCTAACTTCCATAGCTTGGGATTTTTCTGTCCAACTATGGTGACATGTAAGCCACATTTTTCAAGTCTGGTTCCACTATTCTGCAACGCCAAGTATAGATTCCGTATTTTGTTGCGTCTCAGCCAGATCAGCTATACTCTCCCCAGACGTTGAGGCGTTAAAGGAACAGAAGGCAGCCAGGGCAAAGGTCTCCGGAGGGGTGACGTCATGGAGATTCGTGGCGGTGGCATCAATGGCAACCATGACCGCTTAAAATGTGGATAACATTAATGGCTATTAATGGTTAATTATATATTCATGGCTATTAATGGTTATTCATGGCTATTAATGGTTATTCATGGCTATTAATGGTTATTCATGGCTATTAATGGTTATTCATGGCTACTAATGGTTATTCATGGTTATTTAATGGTTTTTGCTGGTTTTTAATGGTTATTAATGCTTTTTAATGGCTTTTATTTCTTAATGGTTATTAATGGTTATCATGATTAACAAGCCAGAAATGGGAAAAAAACAAACCGTGAAGGGTAACATTTATTGATCTTTTGGCATGGGGGAATAAGCTTTACCAAGCAAAAACTAGAGCACACAATTGGAGTTGTTGTGGTAAACATGTTGATCAACTGTTGGATTTGGGATTCAAAATGGCTATTTGCCAGGCACCATGGTTTAGAGAACATCAACAGCAAACTTGTTGCGATTTTCATGTCTGGTTGGTGGTTTCAAACATTTTTTATTTTCCATTTCATATATGGGATGTCATCCTTCTCATTGACGAACTCCATCATTTTTCAAGATGGTTATGGCACCATCAACCAGGTATGTTCATCATCTATAAACTAACAATAACTAACATAACTATGGAAAATCACATTTTTTCATGGGAAAACTCACTATTTCTATGGCAATTGTCATGAATCATCACGAATCTTTCTGGATGAATTGGAGCGATCTCACTGGGTGAGCGATCTTACCCGGTCATGCTTGGATTTGGACACATCAACTGAAGCAAAAATCGCCAAATCCAGCACTTTTGGGATAGGTTGAAGATGTTTTTTCAGATTCAACCAGGTTTTTTTTTCCTGTTCACCATGTCAAGGACTGCCATCCCACCGAAATCCGACATTTTCATGGTTTTTTGCCGAGATCAGTCAGAAGCCCATTTTTTACGGCTACGTTGATCCAGTTGGAAGTAGTTCCACCCCTCTAGATCCAACTTGGATGCAGGTAGCATGCTGGTAAATTAGATTGGAACTTTTAAGTCAGGTTTGATTTTGTTGATTGAAAATAAAACATTAATTCCAAGTGAACATTGTATTGAGTAGACTTGGCTCTGTTTTCCGGGACAAGTCATAGTAAGTCTGTGTAAGTCTGATATCTTCGCCTTCGGAGGCCGGGGAGGCGAAACGGCAGCCTGCGTACCAGCAGGCAACGGTGATGTTGATTTCAAGAACGTTTGAACTATCGTTATACCCTCTGGTTATGTCAACATAGCTATTGAAAATGGCAATTTATAGTGGATTTACCCATGAAAAATGGTGATTTTCCATAGTTATGTGAATGTTTACCAGAGGGTATGTAAACTATCGTTATGTATTATACTTGTATATATATGGCTATGGATCAATACCTATAGATACATTTTTAGTGGGATGAACATCCATAAATCCCAGCTATGACTTGGGGTTCACTAGGTACCAGGGTTTTGACCCATCCCCATATATCTGTATATCTGGGTAAATTTCATCACGACCTCACCGTTCTCCCGAACCCTGGAAATCATGGTTAGATTGAGGGAAATCATCCCCAAATGGCCTTAATTCAGGTTAGTGAAGTATTGTAATTACCCAGATGTATACATATATATATATATCATACATACATACATACATACATACATACATACATACATACATACATACATACATACATACATACATACATACATACATACATACATACATACATACATACATACATACATACATACATACATACATACATACATACATACATACATATTTCCCATAAACCATAGAATTCACCAATTTGCTAATAAGTCAATTTAGCTGTCGATGTTGAAGCACTTTTCACTTGCTGAATTCTGTGGTTGGATGGTAGGGGGATATAACTGCAGGCCTCCCCTTCTACAGGGAAGGATTTTCATGGGCACTGGCAGACACCCCTGGTTGAGTATATAGGATCATAGGATTATTGTCGGTTGATCAATATACCCTAGGTATCCCCTATAGGTGTCCTTTTCCCATTGCTTGGTTGATTAATAGAGGGGTTTGAACAAACCCCTTGAACAACAGGTTTGATGATAGTATCCCATAGTATCCCGCTATTATTGGTGGTTGAAAACAAACACCTAGGGATGCCTCACGATGATTATTGGTTGATTTATAGGGCATTATACCATCCAATATATTGCGGATGATCAACGGATCCATGAGCTGGTTAAATCCATATTTCAACCAGGCAGTATAAATTGTACAAAGGGACGATCTCAAATGATATAACATGATATGTTTAACATGGTGATATAGTGATTAGGAAATTTATGGTGATATGATGGGGATAATGGTGCTACTTTCATGGGGACAGAATAGGGATGTAACCAAGAAGATGTCACCAGCTATTTGTGCCTTTGAAATGGGATATACCATCAACATATATGATAACTGGTTGGTGGTGACTGGAACCATGGAATTTTATGACTTTCCATTCAGTTGGGAATGTCAATTTTCCCAACTGACGATTTATCCATCATTTTTCAGAGGGGTCGGTATACCACCAACCAGATATTAGATGCAATTAGTAGATATTAGCCATTTATTAGGCACTATGAATGGATATCAACCTACATTACCCAAAGTAATCCCCAAGTCATAGGGTTTCTGTCATACGGAAAATGATGATTGGCCAGTGCTTCTAGGGGTACCCTGCGGAAAATCCAAAATGGCAATGGACAATCCACTTTTAAAAGTTCCATGGTTTTCCCCACCAAACACAGCAATAAAGACATGTGGATTTTCAAGCCGCGTTTGATTGCCAGAGGGTCTTAGCTAATATCCCATGAATATTCCATTAAATCCCATTTATAGGTGATATATGGTGATAATATGACATTAAGACCCATATATAGGTGATATTCACTGGTCATTTATATGTGATATTCACTGGTCCATTAATATCACATGATATTGAATATAATATGACCAGTGAATATCATGTGATAATATGACATTAAGACCCATTCGTGAATGTTGCTGGCAGCATATTCACTAGAATATCCCCAGCCCGTACATGACAACGATGGCTTCCCATGGAATATCCCCTGAAAATGGCTGATGTCATACCCCCATGATCTGTTGATAGTTCTGTATAGTAACACTTTTGCGTCCTTTTGGGGGTTGTTACATCGGAAATCAGGGGAATAGTAAGGGCTTAGTAGCCAGAACAACCAGGTCCATACTTCATGATGGGTTTCTCCATAAATTACTTGGATTTGCTGAAGATGATTTTTTATTTTCTCCATGGGAAATCCACTTCTTGGGTAATCTATAGGGAATATTTTTTATTTTTTGGTGGTTCCTTAAGCAAATCCATGATTATGTTTAGTAGGGCTTGCAGCTACGTTTATTTCCAGTTTGAGCACAATGGTAACTTTCCCACGGTCAAAGGTCTCGCTACTACATGGCTTGCCCTATTTTCAAACATCAAAATTTCAAATACATTTATCCTAGATATCCAAGGTATACATTTTCCCAGCACATATTTTAAGATATCCCAGGAACAAGTCGATACTTTTGATTTTGATATTTTGCCCTTTGATACCTTTGATACATCTTCTACATGATTGATCCTCTAAGGCGACTCGGAAAGCGTGGGTTTTTGCGGTAGATTTCACCCAAACGGCAAACGCAACATGTACTGACCACTTCACATGGAACCTTATTCACTGGCCATGATCGGAGAATGATTTTTCAAAAGCCCCTCGGGTTCCAGCGAACGGAAGCCATTCTCCAACATTCACCAACAATCTGCAGTAAACGCAAGTGCTGACCTCCGGTTCAGTTGGATTAGTCCGTGCAAGGTGATTCAGAAAGCAGATGCTGCGGCAGTCTGGAAGCTCAAATCCATGGGAAATCCAGGGGTTTGGCAATCTGGAAGCTCCCGGTTTTTTTCTGGGTAAATCAACTGGTTGAGAAGCTTATTTTGCTTCAATGATGTTTCATTTTTGGCGCTAAAAAAGGAGGATTTTCCCAGCTTGAAGAATTGCTAAAGGCTACGTTACGGCATGTGGACATTGCCTTTTCGGGTAACCAACGAATGGTGGATTTTCATGAGTTACCCCAGGGGTTTTACTAACACTTCGATTGCTGAAACAATTGGCTTTATCACATCACCAAATTCATGATTTTTTTGATGTCCGGATTTACCCACGGGGACATCCCATATTTTATTGGATGGTCAATTTTCCAGAGGATCGGACTCTCATCAGCAATTTGTAGCCTGTCACCAGTGGAATGATTGTACCAGCTGGCCATGGGAGGGCTGCCATCGGTGGAACTGCCGGAGATGTTTCTTGAAGATTTCCATGGCCATCGTCCGGATATGTTCTGCCGGCAACGTCCTCTGCTCTGACATGGGTATGGATCAATACCTATTAATACCATTTTTAGGGGAATGAACATCCATTTACCAGCTATTTTGATGTTCACCAGGGGTACAAGGTTTTGACGCACTGCCACATGCTAGATTTTTTTTGGTCAGGGTGTATGTATTGCTTAACTGCCCAGTTTGATAGGTAGAATCATGTAACACTGTAACATACTGTAACATAATTCTGCTGGTCAAATCCACCCCTTTGTTTGTAGACTCCCTATTTGATACCTTCATTGTCACAATCAATCCCCATGTTTGTTATACCCTCTTCCCGCTTGGTGAATCAACAATGATTAAAGGAGGTGTTAACCCATAAAGGCATACCAGAAACCACAGGTACATCATATCAACCATTCTGAAGCAGTTTGAGAATCAAAGGAGAAAACCCGTGGCTTTGGAGATGCCCAATTCCAGGTACGTTTAGGTTTTTGTCTACCCACCCACACAAGTGAGCACAGCCACTATTCAAGGCTCCTCTACTCATGTGACGCGTATGGCATAAATAGGATTGTCTATTGTGCGCTGTACATGGAGGTTTCCTAAAATGGGCTACCCCCAAATCCATATTAAACCGTCCAGCTATTCGGGCACCTTCATTCATGGAAACCTCCATAAAAAAAATATGTATACTGTACTCAAAGCATGTTTTTCTATGACCAAGAGCGGTAAACTTTGATAAGACCAGATCTGCCAATGGCAGCGGCAGAGGTGCCCTTGGTCTATGAGTTCAGTTCCAATCGGGCTCCTGAGGACAGCTGGAGGTGGTCGTGAGGGAAACTGTTGCTTGGTACGTGTCTTTATTTTATTACAGGACTACGATTGGACATAACCAATACTAGTGGGATTTAAATGGATAATTGATGCTCAATAACGAATTATAGGAGGGACGGCATGGAGACTTATCATCTCCAAATTGATTTAATGGAAAATTATTGGGCTATTAGCTAATACCCTTCGCCAATCAAACGTGGTTGGTTGGAAAATCACCCTTTAACGGAGTTTTTAATGGGGAAATCATCTAGGAATGGGGGTTGTCCCATTGCCACGGATTTGCCTGATTCTTTATGTTCCCGATTGGAAATCCACTACGTGCGGAATCTATAGGAAATATAAATAGATAAAACTATATGTACAAATATACAACATTTTCTTGGGGGTTCCTCAAAAAAAATCTAAGTTGAAGGACTATAAAGATCTATAGAACACTATTGTAATTTATTATAAGTATGATAGGACGAATACAACTTTACTATAATGATTTATTAAATCCTATATCTACCCTTAGGCCACTAAGACCCTCATAGACAACTTTTGTAGCAGCTACTTGCAGTATACATGGGGGGGGTGTTTCAGAGAAACCACGAAAAACGGGGCGAGAACAGAAAAGTTTACAGCACAGCACAGACATAACAACATTGCACGCAAGTTTCCGCTAGACAGCCTGGCAAGGCCGGCTTCTTATTACTTTTATTTATTTTTATTTTTTTAAATCATTATTTCACTGGCCATCTCAGGAACCTAAATTGGAGGTACCTACCATATATAAGGCCTATATAAGGCGTATGTTAGGGAAATTCCCATTGATTATTGTTAGTTTTTGAATGGAATTTAACCAAACCATTACATATTGCTTCAGGTTGGCCAAGGATCTTTGCAAAAAGGCAATTGGCATTGTGGTTTTGTTTTTCGGGGCGACAAATGTCACCCAAATTCGTTGAACCCCTTTGCGGTAAAGGGTAGAGGTGACGGGAATTTCGTTCTGCAGTCCGCCAGAGGCCCGCCTTTTTGGCCAAACTGGGGTTTTGCACAGCAAGCATTTGGACGCAAGCCGAACCCCACACCCAAGTGCAGGATGATTGACAAGCCGAGCAATGGACATTGCCTCTATTATGCAATGTCCTCTCGCCTGGGCGTCGAAGGAGTGAGACACTTTCGGCACGCAGCAGGCAGCCTTGGAAACCCATGGCCACAAGTGACTTCCCGCGAGTGCTGTGCGGCAGCGGCGAACAGAGCCATGCATTTTCTGATTCTAAAGGGAGGAGCTTTCCCAAATTGATGCTGATATATCTGGAATCAAGTTCGTAAACCCCAATGAACTGGGTTTCTTGTAGCATCTTGTAGCTTTGTGGAATATCACAAAAATATCCCCGCAATGTGGTTTTGGTGGTTTTGCTGGTGGGACGCGGTGACAGATGTTGATCTCCGATCCCTCCACTGTCTACTTGGGAGTTTTTCACCGCTTCCCGCGGCACTAATTGGACAATCCTTTTGATTATCACGTGAGCCATGGTCAATACTCACTATATGGTTGATGGTCATCCCATCCATAATAAGGATCCAAAAATAATGGTTATAAAAAAATCCCTATGAACCATTGGATGACTAGCCCCGTTTTTAATGGTTATTAACCATGAGTATTGACCATAGCTCACGTGGCTGCATAGATGCACCTAATTGCACTTAAACTTTTTAACCTTACCAATCTTTCGTTCACATCTATTTGGTTTCCATCTTGCAACGCCCCGTGTGGCAGAGATCCCTACCCTTCTGTCAGTGTCCTAGACGAAGGTGTGTCTTGAACAGAGTATTTCTATTTTTCAAAACGAGTCCTCCTGGGAGTGCAGTTTTCATATGATTTAAGGTGATCTTTTGAAAGGTTTTACTGCACTTCCCAGGGCGCTTTTACACAACAGTTTGACCAGAGTCTTTGAAATCTTGAAAAATCAAATGAAACACAATATATCCCAATCAATTTGATTAAACTTACATACAACCCCCAGAATTCACAAAACCTTGGAAAGACCAATAAAAACCGCAAAACATATTTCCAGGCTCTTTGGAGGGGGTCCATGCAAGAGTCCTTGATGTTTTTGGTTTTCTCGATTTTTTTTTTCTGGGACTCTTGATTTTGTGGTGGTTGTGTACTTTTTTCCAAACAAGGAGTGCCACCTCTTTTCAAAGGAATAAAAACATTGATATTCATTGGTTCAATAAAATATTTCAAAACAAAAACGGCAGGGTTGCAGCATGCTGGTACCAAACTGCATTTTCCCAGTTGATTGACGGGTTTGCTTTCAGGTCCTCGTACTTATTGTTGCCTGATGTGCAACTTGGATATGCGCCGTATACACACAATTTGAAACATTTTTTTTTTCCACAATGCATACCTATAGTTTGAAGTGAATCATGTTCTGCATTATTCAATGCATAAAACTTACCAAAACCAAAACACGCACTGCCACAAAGACTCGATTTTTCTTTGCAGTGGTCAAACCCCGCGGCGCACAAATCCCATGATGCACTGGGAAAAATCGTTCATTTTTTGGGTGCTTGTTTTTGGGGTTATTTGATACTGCTTGGATGGCATTATATATTTAAAAAAACTTATATTGGCTTAATGGGATAGCACAAACTTTTAGAACCGGGGTATAGATATGACCCAAGATATATAATTTTATTTATCCCACATTCAAAATCTACAGAGTATATCCCAATCCCCTGTAGTGTTTTTTGATTTCCAGGAGACCCACGGCACAGAACTTTGGTTCCAAAAGTTTCGAGAGGCGCTTCAGGCCGCCAGCTGATGTGGGTTCTTAAGTCACGGAGGATCCGCAAGTCGTCGTGGATTTCAATACTGGTCATCGATGGCTTGGATGATTTGGGGGTACCACCATTTCAGGAAAACCTCCACCATGATGGAATATCATGGAATATCCATATAAAATCATATAAACCAGTATTGTTATTCCAATGGTTTATTGGTGTTATTCCAATATATGGAATGGTTATTCGGGAAATTTCCATGTGAGCAATTTCAAGAATACTGTTTTGGATGATTTCTTTGGGTTTGATGAACCGAATTGAGGAAAATCATGATTTGGCTGACGGAAAATTGGTACATTGTCAAAACATGCACAGGGCAGTCTGATGGGAAGCATTTGCTGTATGGGGATATGTATATATAATTGTATATACATGTATACGCATTGTAGATACTTATTTATATACGTATACTTAATTGTATATACATTGTATACACATCTGATATATTAATAACAAAAGTAATGATAATAGTAATAATAAGGATGATAATGACAATCACATTAATAATAACAATAATCTATATATATATTATATATATATACATTTGCCTAAAAATGCCGGATGATTGTTGGGATACTATCTGAAATTTTCGGTTTTGTCTGGCGAAGCCCCAGATATTTCTCCATTTGGGGCTGGCATCACCTCTAGGCGGCGCACCACGGCTGGAAAATCTACCCGGCCTGGTAAATCAACGAACTAAATGACCGTTTTCAATAGCTATGTTGAAAATCTATAAATATCTGAACCCAATCATTTTTATGTTTTTTTTTCAATGGGAATATTGGGAATATCATCTATGAATGATATAATTAAATAGATGATTTTTGATTGCTACCTTTGATTACCGCTATGTCTTGCCCTGCTCCGGCGCCCAGGGGTCTACGGGTCACACGACTAGCGAACTCCTGGCAAAAGTGCCATTGTTTGTAGGGGGAACTCAGTGACATCGGGTCCAGGCTCCGGGTACTCGTAGCTCCCAAAATGACCCGTTCGCCAGACATGGCAACTACCCTCTGGTTATGTCAACATAGCTATTGAACATGGCCATAGAAATAGTTTATTTACCCATTGAAAATGGCCATTTATAGTTGATTTACCCATTGATAGCATGGTGGATCTTTCCATCGTTTTTTGTATGTTTACCAGGCCGGGTATCAACGGTTCAGAGTTCTGGCGTAACTTTCAGCACCGTTCAGACGGTGTCTTCGAGGCCGCAGCCATGGGTGCAAGTCGACCGCGACAACAAGAGGCGGCATGTGAAACCAGGATGCGAATGTTTGTGATATCATGGGAATAGAATGGAGATATAATGAAATATATCAGCAACATTGTTGTGCGGCGAAGATTTTCAGTGATTTTAGCAGAAATCGAGCTGGAGAAAACTGAGCGAATGGAGATCATCTGTGGATTTCAGGCAACGAATTCGAAGCAAAACATATAGGTCCCAAGCATCGATTTTTGTGGGAAGTTGCTTGTAGGTTAGCTCGAAAATGGAAGATGACCCCGAAAACTTGGAGATTGTTTGAAGGTGTTCTCTCAGGATCACCATGCTGGTCCCCTCAGCCATGCGGCTGTGGTCAATGGGAATTTCAGGATCCTAAATTGGAGGTACTGTACCATATTTTTGGCCATATTTTGTGGGGATATAACGCCATTGAATTGGTGTAATTTTCTAAAAGCGCAGATCAAACTACCATTCGGAACGCTCTTGAGGAAAGGGGATGTTGATAACCAATCCGGTTCGTTGAGGACCCGGTTACCCGGTTTGCTTTGGACCTTTTTGACGCTGTTTGGCCCGAACTCGTTGGAGGAATGATGATTTTGATTTTAGGATATTTTAGGAGTTCATGATTGACAGATGCTTCAAGTAAATGTGGCTCTCCCAAGTGGCAAAAGTACAAGCCTCAGCGTTCCAACCTCCTCCAAAGTCGAGGACTTGAAGGGTCTGGCCCAAAAAGCGCTGGGACAAGCTTTCTTGACACTTGTCACTGCAGATGGACATGTCCTGGCTTCCAAGGCGAAGACAACAAGGGAATCTCTGGATGCTTTGGGGATCCAAGAGGGGGACCACATCACAGCAATTTCGCAAGAACCAAAGCTATCAGCGACTGCAGACGCCTTTGCACTCTGGTGCTATGGAGGTGATTTCATCGTAGCCTGGGGCCATCCGGACCGTGGAGGGGACCAATGTTGCATCACTGAAGTGCAAGCCCAGATCAAGAATCTGCAAGAGATCAAGGGGACAAAGCGCGCATTTGCAGCTGTACAGGCAGATGGATCTTGTGTAACATGGGGTGCTCCATACTGGGGTGGTGACAGCTCACCTCTCGTAGAGCTCAAGAACGTGCAACAGATTCAGGCGAGCAGTAGTGCATTTGCTGCCATCCTGGCAGACGGATCCGTGGTTACCTGGGGCGATCGAGCCTGTGGTGGTGACAGCTCTGCAGTCCAGGATCAGCTCAAGAGAGTTCAGCAAGTTCAGGCCACAGATCGTGCATTTGCTGCGATCCTGGCAGATGGATCTGTGGTGGTCTGGGGTGATGCTTTTGCTGGTGGCGAAAATTCTGGAGTCCGGGACAAGCTCAAGAATGTGCAACAGCTTCAGGCCACAGCTAGCGCATTTGCTGCTGTTTTGGCAGATGGATCTGTTGTGACGTGGGGCAATCTGCATTGGGGCGGTGACAGCTCTGAAGTTCAAGATCAACTCCGGAATGTGGAGCACATTCAGGCCACGGCAAGGGCATTCGCTGCCATCCTGACAGATAGATCTGTTATTACATGGGGCGAGCCAGATTGTGGCGGTGACAGCACCAAAGTTCAAAGTCAACTCAGAGATGTGTGCCAGATCTGGGGCACGAAGCGTGCATTTGCTGCTATCCTGGCTGATGGATCTGTTGTTACCTGGGGTGACCCCCGCACTGGTGGGGACAGCTTTGCAGCCCAAGATCAGCTGAAAGGTGTAGAACAGCTTCAGGCTACAGCATCTGCATTTGCTGCGATCCTGGCTGATGGTTCGGTCGTTACATGGGGCCATCCAGATAGTGGCGGTGACAGCTCTAGAGTCCAAAGTCAGCTCAGGAAGGTGCAACAGCTTCAAGCCACAGATTCTGCATTTGCTGCCATCCTTGCAGATGGATCGCTGATTACTTGGGGCAACCCCAAAGGGGGTGGTGACAGCTCCAGAATTCAAGAATGGCTGGCACGGTTGTAGCAGAGCAACTGTCTTCTAGTTGATGGTCCAGACCAATCCTACTTTACCTGGTTGGTGGTTTCAAACATTTTGTATTTTTCCATATATTGGAAACATTTGGAAATAATCATCCCAACTGACGAAGTCATATTTTTCAGAGGGGTAGGTTGAAACCACCAACCAGTTACAATCGTGTCTAATTGTGGTGTGACTGGCTTGAATCCTCGACCATATTTCTGCTTGAAACTGTGCAACCACCAGTGGGACCAGCGACCAAAGATCCAATGGGAATACCCATGGGGAATCCATGGGGCATATGTGTTTTTTCGTCCCTTTGTTTGCCTCCCGAGACGTGCATTTCAGAGAGGGTTGATGTTTTCTAAGATAGCCAGGGGATGTGACTGGTAATCAAACATGGCTAGCTGGGATTTCCTGGAACTAAATTGGTTTAAACTGGGAATTAATCATGATATTTTTTTTTCCATTGCCATGTTTGATTCCCGGAGGGTAAGCAGATGTAAGCAGGGTAGACCAGTAGACCAATGATTGCCCAACATCGCATCCTTGCTAAAGATGGTGATTTTCCCTATGTTAGATAACCAGATTGTAAGGCCCCTTTCATATCCATTACTATTTATCAATATCCCACTATAGTTGATATATAGTTGATAGCTACTAAATACTACTAATACCTAATTCATTATTTGATAATCGTTATTATAGTTATAGTTACTCATCTCAATATCTCCTTATATTCATATAGTAGATACAATTCATTGCTAGCCATTCAAAAGTATGAATATAAGGAGATACTGATATTGAGATGAGTAACTATATGATGTTACTCATCTCAAGATCCTTACGATTAATCCACCATTTTTCTATACATGTCAGGCTTCCCCCACGACGCAGGAGTTGTTGGTCACCTTTCTTCAAAACTACCCACAGAGCTTCAAGGCCACCCTGGGCTATGTTGTGGATATGATGGGAATACAATGGGAATACAATGGGAATACAATGCAATATTGGGATATGGGTATAGTAACCGGGATATATATATATGGAATATCATCGGGATATCATTATATTATCATTGGTATATACATAACATAGCAGATGTATACAAACAGTTACATTGAGCCTTTTGGCACTGCGAGTTCGCCAGACAAATCTTCAAAATGAGGTTTAAACATGTCCTCAGGCTCAAATAAGACAATATAAGATGATATAGGGGGTATGCATCCAAGGGCAGTTGATTTTTCTTTTGATAATAGGTATAGTATTGGAAGATTGGACATGGGTATAGTAACATTAAGATCGTCTCAATATTGGAATATAAGTATATTATCTGGGATATATATATATGGGATATAATTGGGATATCATTATATTATCATTGGTATATACATTATAGTTCACTATAACAATATTTATTGATTGTAACATAGCAATATTGGAATATCGGAATATCAGAATTATCAGGTCATTCGAGCCTGCACACCAGAAGATAAAGTCCTACTCGCACCATTATTTCATTATAGGATATCAATAATTCACCGGTGAGTACTACCTATAATAGGTAGGTAAATATTATTCACAATACTATCCAAAACCATATTAATTTTATTGATTTTAACACCTATTATAGGATATCTTTCTATTTTTTTGATTCTTCTCATGGGTTTTCGAATGATTATTTTCATTAGAAACATCCTTATATAGGCCTTATATATGGTAGGTACCTCCAATTTAGGTGCCTGAAATGGTAATTGATTAATTACCCTCTGGTAATTTCACATAGCGAACTAGAAAATCAGCATTAAAATAATAGGTAAACAATCTATAAATGGGTTATTTTCCACAGCTATGTTAGTTTACCAGAGGGTAGAAACAACTTTTGTAGAACATCATGGTTTTAAAATTCTGTTTAGTGGATTTTAGTGGTACATCTAATGGGTTTCAAATGTTTTCTAATAATATGTACCACTATATTAGATGAATGGGTACTAAAATGGACTAAAATATTTCTAAAATGGGGTTTCTAATAATGGGTACATCTAATAATATATTGGTTTTCATATTTGGTCCCCATGACATGATGATCACATCACCTCCACAAAACACATTGAGCCGGGCTCCCTCTGACCCCATCCGGAGTGGACACTTGTATTCCTAGGCCTTTCGTTTGTAAACCATAACTTACTGGTGAGTTTTACGCAAGGAATGGATGGGAATGTGGGTTGCTGGGATTATTATTGATAGTTAGCCAGTGGATCATTCCCGAAAATTCCCTAGGTTTAGCACAAGTAAGTAAAATTAAGTGCAACCGTCAAAACTCGCGGAAACTAAGAAATGTATTGGCCGGACATTGGTTTTCAGAAACTGCAAAAAAACCTGAGGTTAGCGATGGGACCTTTCCGAATAGCGATACCCCATTTTGAGATCTGGACGGTATAATGATGTTTCATGAGGGTTGATTTCGTCAAATGCTAGCATCGATTGAAATTGGCCTGGGTGTAAAAGGAAAAGGAAAGGAAAAGGAAGGGAAAGTAACAGGAAAAGGAAGGAAAAAGGAAAAAAACAAAGGAACATGTAAATCAATGTAGATCAATATGGCACAGCGATGTTCAAAGGGCTACGAAACTGTGGTTGGCGATGGGACCTTTCCGAATTATGTTGTCCTTTTTACGAGGGAGCTTTGCCAGCCGCACTAATATGTACTTTTACCCTCTTTCACCAATTTAATCCCATGAAATCTCATTCAGTCCTCATGAAATCCCATCAGATGCCCATAAAATCCATCATACTATATATATATATATGTATACCATCTGGTTATTCAACATAGCCATGGAAAATGGCCCATAGAAATAGATGCTTTACCTGGGTTTACCTATTAATAGCATGGTGGATCTTTCCATGGCAAACTGTTAGTCATAACCAGATGGTACACAGAAAATAGACGACGTGCCAAGTGCTGCCCTGCTGGTTTTTTTCTTCCCTGTAGTTCCACTGTGTTCCACATCCAACAGGTGGAGAAGAAGGGCTTCGGTGCCGAACGAACTTACCTCGTGGGCTGGCCGAGCCGTCGAAGCCGTCGAAGCGTTGCCGAGGTTAAGCAATGGCTCGCCCAAAATAATGGCATCCGAGGGGAATAACCATATATTTCTAGTGGTGAATAATGGTTTATAATGGTTAGTAATGGATAACATGGCTTGTTAATGGCCATTTTTTATGGTTAAGAGTATGGTTAATAACCATAATAACCATATTTATGACCCATTTCTAGATGGGATAAGCCACAAAGGGGGACTTGCCAGTGTTACTACTGACTAGTTCTGGGGAGTTTTTTCGAAAAAAATCTTCGTCTATGTGCCATGGTCAAGCTATATGGCTTGTTTTCTCACAAAAACAACGAGATGGTTAGCAATCCTTTCTTTATGGATTCATACATCCATATGGCAGTGTGTCAAAACCTTGTACCCCAGGTGAACATCAAAATAGCTGGTAAATGGATGTTCATTCCCCTAAAAATGGTATTAATAGGTATTGATCCATACCCATATATGGGTAAATTATAACGACCTCACCGTTCTCCCGAACCCTGGAATCATGGTTAGTAAGGGGAATCATCCCCAAATGGCATAACTATTCAGCTTGGTGAAATATATATATATTTTTAACCCAGATATTTTTCTGGGATCCAACATCATCCACTATCAGCATATCCGATATATCCATATTCATACATCCCCTAAATCATCATCCTTACATGGATTCCCAATAAGGGATGACCATGAATGACATCCATAAACCATACACGGTTCCATAGCACCAGTGTTTTGACCCTAGCAGACTAGCAGATATCACCAGGAACTGCTGGTTAGTGCTGGTTCCGCATAGGGTTTAGGGTTTCTTCAAAGCAGGCGGACCCCGGAACTGAACCCAATGGGTTTTGTCAATCATGAAATACCTCGTAAAATGCCGTGTTCGCCATGTCTTGTCTAGCCCATGTTAGAACAACCACACATAATATACAAACATCTACAAGAATCAGAACAGGATTAGTGGCTGGCTAGCTTGTTCCGCAGGCAGAGGGGTTGATTTTTGGCCCATAGACACATCACGAAGATAATCGAGTACTATGTCATAGCACTCCAAGAGTTGGTAATTGGTGGAGTATTGTCATTTTTGGGGTGTGGTGCTACCAGCCATCACCACCGTCACCATCACGGTGGTGATGATGGTGATGATGATGGTGATGACGAGGACGACGATGACCACCGAGACGAAACTAGACCAGAGGAAACTAGACCAGATGAAACTAGACCAGACGAAACTAGACTAGACTGACTGCAAGCAAAGCAAAAATCCGCGCAGAAGCAATGAAGCTAAAGCTATCACAAGATGTATCACAAGAACATCCACAAAACACCCTGGCAGGCCGGCGGAGTAAGTTTAGTCCCTTCAATCTTTGACCGAATTGAGGTGATTCTGATACCACATCTAACTCCTTCCCCCCACTATTCAAACATATTTAGACTATAATGAAGAAACCCGAAACAATATTGTATTTTGGTAGGGGATTTACCCGGCACCTTTTTTGCCGAACTATAAGGGGTATTTTGGGATGGGATTATCAATTAATATCCACTATTTTCACACATATATATATATATACATAATTATATATACATATATCCCACTATAGTTGATTATAGTATAGTTTATTACTATATGCCCCGTGTTAGTGAATGTGAACACGGGATGGAATTTGCCAGATATCCTAAAAAATCAAGTTAACCTACATTATTCACCAACTATGTAGGAGTGTTTTTTAATGGTTGGATTGAATATTAGGATGATTACCCTTTGGTAAACATACAAAAAGCTATTGAACATGGCCCAGTCGAAATAGTGGATTTACCCCAAAAAATAGCATGGTGATTTTCCATAGTTAGGTTCCTGCGTTTACCGGAGGGTAGGATGATTACAGAAGTTGAGGCCCCTAGTTACCCTCTGGTGAACTAACATAGCAATGGAAAATCACAATTTTTAATGGGAAAATCCACTATAAATGGCCATTTTCAATAGCTATTTTGACATAACCAGAGGGTATGTTTTTTTTGTTCAGTTTTCACTCCTGGGATCACCGTGCTGAACTTTGGCTCTGAGGTCTCTCTGCGGTGATGCCAGGAACCAAATCTCACAGAGAAGTCAGCCAGGTTACGTAAGTTGGTTGATGACCAGATGGTATACCCTCTGGTAATTTAACGTAGCTATTGAACATGACCATTTATCGTGGATTTTCCCATTGAAAATGGTGATTTTCCATAGCTACGTTAAATTACCAGAGGGTAAATATCATTGGTGAAATGTACTTAGAACTCATAGGTTACAATATACATATATATATATATACAAATAATGTATTATATACTTATTATTCATAGGTTGTAATACATCAAAACAATACAGCGAAGATAAACCAACTTATCTGTACTACATACCTAAGTTTATTCATGGTTAACTGGGGCTTATAATATGTCTGTAGTTAGGTGGAGTATCATAAACCTACACAACTGGTCTTGAGCCTGGCTTAAGCATCAATTTCATGGTCTTGAAAACCACCATTTTTTGATATGGGAAATCATCATGAACTCGCCAAGATACCTGACGGTTGGATTCATGAAAATTTCTCCTAAGAATGACTGATGTTCATTGGATGTTCATGTTTTTTTTGGGGTCCCGGGGTCCTTCTTGTCCCATCAACATGCAATTCATGGCAGTCTGGGACTGGGAAACTCTGAGACTGGGACGATCAGGACTGGGTTTGTCGGATTGATGAAAGCTGAGGCCTGAAAAAGATCTGTACATAGCAAGTTACACCGTTGAACTGTACATAAACTGCGAGAGCTTCGCGATGGATTCATAGCCAAAGACTCCAAAAAAAAACCCGAAACCCAAACACACAAAAGAAAGAGTGCGAGATTTTTTGCAGGCGCTGGCTTGCCAGCAAAGGGCTTGTGTTGCAAGACACAGATCGATTGGTTTGAGCGTTGGGTCAAAGCTGCTTATGCAGCAAATCAGCACATCTATTTCACTATGGCTATGATGGGAAACCACACGACCACAATGAAATCACCATCATTTGCCGTTCTTGGTTGATAGATTACATTGGTATGATACTACTTTGCCACTTTCCGACGTGTTTTTTTTTTAATGCACGTGGTGATAAACACAAAAGAACCTATCAATAGAAGGCACAGTTCAGCCCTTGGAAAATGAGTGTGAAAACCATGGTGAAAACCATGACATGGAGGGAAAACCGTCCCAAATCTTTGGAGCTGCGTGCGCCACCGGAGTTTTTTGTTTCAAAAGATGTCCGATTTTCGATGTCACAGGTAGACCACAAAGCTGCCAGTCCCGGTCTTAAGAAACAAGAAGTTCAATAAGTACCAGGAACATCCAGGAACATCAAACATCATTAAACACACCAAGTTATATCAAGTTATATCAAATTACCATTCCAATTACCATTCCAAAAATGTCTCACCACATATCACCACGTCCATCACCACGTCCATCTTAGTTTCAGCCTGGCACGACCTGACATTGCGCGAGACTTTGAAGTTTCCACACCTCTGACGTAGGGAAACTCGTTGTGACTTACCATAGTTGCTTGATATTGCTTGATGATGGGATATTAATGGATATTTTTTGGGTTGCGTACATTTATGAACTTACCAGTTCACTTACCAGTTCACTTACCAGTTCACTTACCATAAATTACTTGGATTTGCTGAAGATGATTTTTTATTTTCTCCATGGGAAATCCACTTCTTGGGTAATCTATAGGGAATATTTTTTATTTTTTGGTGGTTCCTTAAGCAAATTCATGATTACCATAACTTCATCTTGGGGGTTATGATATGTTATGATGGCCCATATATATATATAGTACGGATACATATGGATATCCAGTCTTTGCGGGATGGTCATTGGTCCATTTTCATAGGGATTTAGCCGGCCTGGTAATTTAACAGTTTGCGAACTGGAAAATCATCATTTTTAATGGGTAAATCAACTATAAATTGCAATTTTCAATAGCTTTTTGTATGTTTACCAGAGGGTATGTTCATTGGTAAATCAACTATTTCGACTGGGTCATGTGAAAAATAGCTATGTGAAAAATTACCGGCATAGCAATGGACAACCATTTCTTATAGGTACCCTCTTGTAAACATACAAAAAGCTATTGAAAATGGTCATTTATTGTGGATTTACCCATTAACAACGGTGATTTTCCATAGTTATGTTTGTTTACCAGAGGGTAACTCATCTATAGATTGCCATTTTCAATAGCTATGTTAAATGATATACTGGAGGGTACACCATGTTTTGACGCACGTATGGCCATAATTCCGAAAAAGGATGCCGTGAGCTGTCTTGACCCACGCAGCCCATGTTACGTAGGTCAATGTATCCAGAAATTATCGTTTTAATGATTTTGCATAGATTATAAATTTTGATATAGATAAATATAGGTCATATAAATACATGTAGCATATACTATAAGAGAATTCTGTGGGTTTGTTTGAGGGTTACCCCCAAATTTGATAGCTAATCATGCTTTGAATTTCCCTAGAGAATAGCAATTTCTGGGGGTATACCATGGTATGCCCCATTTCCAGACACGCCCATATATCAAACACATATTGATAGTGTAGTTGCGGGAGGTGTCACGTTTGGGGATGGACCGACCCTTTTTTGAGGGGGGTGAACATGCAGATATACCAGCTATTTTGGTGTTCACCAGGGTACCAGGGTTTGACACATACCTATATATGAATTATATATGTTCAACAATGGACATTTAAGTTGATATACCCTCTGGTGAACATACAAAAAGCTATTGAAAATGGCCCAGTCGAAATAGTGGATTTACCCATTTTCATAGCATGGTGGATCTTTCCATTGCTATGTGAAAGTTCACCAGAGGGTAGCCATGTTTGATCTTCTTCCACCATCAGCAGATTAGAGATCCTTAGAGATCCTGGGTGATTGCGGTGATTAATTCTATGATTAATTGTATGTTTATAGTATACCATGATATTGGTGATTATAGTATTGTATGTTTATATTCCAAATGGATTATAGTTGATAACATACCATTTGGATCCATTTGGGCGTTGGTTTCTTTGGAAACATATCCATTGCTGAACTCAGGACCATTTGAGTCTGACTACTCTCCGGTGTCATCAATTGTGGCAGGGGAATCCCTGAACTGAATGGCTCACCACGTTTGATGACACCAGAGGCTATCCATCTATTCATTCATGGAAGATTGGACCTAGCAGCTATAGCATTTTGTGATATATGGCCAGTCTCAAAAGGCCCACTTGGTTTATAAATATAGGGAGTCACACTAGCCAATACAGCGCGGACGATCACAATTTCCATCTGGGAATCTCGAATTTCCCATTGAAACATTGGCGACATTCCAGTGATTTGGTGAAAATAGGCTACCCAAGGAACCCAAGCAACCTAAGCTTTGAATCGTTATAATATGTTATAATCATCCATTTTCCAGAATTTCCGCGATGACCACTGGAGGCTTTCCTATCCCTATCCCATGCATTGCACAAAACCTGCTGCAGGTCGGACCCAGTGGAAATCGAACAGGAACCGAGCGACGCAGAACGGCCTTGGATGATGTTGGATTTCCATTGGATTTCCCAGCCATTTTTCCCCCATTTTACATATATTTTACAGAAAAATTGGTGAGTCAAGAGATGTCAAGAGGGGCCATGAATTTCCCATAAACCCATCGTATCGTTGCTATGTTTTGACTCACCTTCCTGCGTGCGCCTGCGCGCGTGCAAGGAGGGAGACGAAGAGGACGCCGAGGAGATCGCAGCTGAGTGAAGCATTTCTGATGGCTTTACCCTCTGGTAAACATACAAAAAACGATGGAACATCACCATTTTTAATGGGTAAACTCACTATAAATGGGTCATTTTCCATAGCTATGTTAAACTACCAGAGGGTACCCATCAGAATTGAGCTTTCAGAGCTTTCGAAAACAATCGTTCTATCTGGATCTATAGTATAGTTATGTAATTAATGATGTATAGTTGGGGGATGAGGGTTCCTCTTCAACATTCTTCAACGCAAAATTTGCGCTTCTTGTCTTCAACATTCATCATCCATCTCTTTCCGGCCTTGTTTCGGCCTTCGCGCTTCGCGGGGTGAGGAGCTTCTCGCTTGCGCCACGTGTTTCACCACCATCATCTATCGTGACGACATCCTTCAGGCGGGTGTTGATTTTCAGGTCATGGGGATTTTCATGGGTCCTTCAGGGGGATTTCCCGGCCATAAAATTGGACCGGAAATCTGATCGAAATCTGGTGATTCAGCAATGGATTTACCCTCTGGTAAACATACAAAAAACGATGGAACATCACCATTTTTAATGGGAAAACTCACTATAAATGGGTCATTTTCCATAGCTATGTTAAATTACCAGAGGGTACCCATCAGCATGGGTCATTAAATGTCCCCATTGAACATCACCCAACCATTAAGTATATGGTCTATTTCATGGCTACTTTTTTAGGTGATGTCCAATATACCCAAAATGGGACAGGCAAACCAACCCCTGTTCAGCCATGGTTATATAGCCTCACTGGTGATTTTTTTGGGCCAAAAAGGGGGTGAAATCCCACGGATCGGAGTCGGGGGCGATGGTAAGCCCAAGTAGTGTGGAAGACCCAATGGTAAGTCGGATACCTAGAGGATTCTAGAGGTGTATAAAACACCCCAAAGGACCCAAAAAAAGAATCAATCAGGCTAAATTAATTCGAATTGGGCATGCTTTTGTTTTTTGTTTGTTGAGGGTTTACCACATTATCAGTCCCTCTTCGAAGACCCTATTATTTGAACACTCTCATAAGAAGCAACACACTGGAGATAAATTTAATGTGGAACCCAATTAGATATTGGATATGCTCAATAGGAACATCATCTTCCAAATACTAACTCAATTACTCAATTCTTCTGTGGAACTGTAGCCTCTTTCGGGCTGTTTCTGGGTCATTTGGCGTCCCTGAAACGGTTGACATGACCACTTGCTTGATGTGGCTGCAAGTTCTCACCCCCAATACGCCCCCCTCCACACGGAGAGTAGCCTATTTGCGGAAGGGAACATGATGATAATCCATTGGAATTATGTTTTGACTTTGTAATCAAACAATGGCTATCTGGAAAATCTCCTATGAGTGTAGCTGATAGCTGGGAAAATCACATCACATATAATATATAACTAGTGGATTTTCCATGGTTGTATTAATGGTTGTCCATTGCACACTGTTTGGCTCTCAAACTTTCACTTCTTAAGAGCCACATTCGGATGATCTTAGAATCCAATCGGATTTTCTACCAGGCGAGGCCCCCCCATTCATCAACCATCGATTTTTTTCGCTGATAAATGTGACGTGCATCAACTTCTTGCTATCCGGGGGCAACAATCAATGTACTGGTTTATCATTATGATCAATCTCCACTATGAATCTGGTTGGTGGTTTGGAACATGACTTCTATTTTCCCATCTATTGGGAATGTCATAATCCCGACTGACGATTTGTCATCATTTTCAGGGGGGTAGGTGGCTCAACCACCAACCAGTTAATAGTCATATTATTGGTCAACTAACGGTTCTTATATAGATGGCATTAATCCACCACTGGTATCATGCCTGGAGGTTTCCTATTGAAAGCCATGGTTTTGGGGATACCCTATGTGAAGAAACCCCCATGGTAGATGAACATATCCCATTAGCCCGGGACCCATTTTTTAGAGTGTTTCAGAAAACACAAAAAAACGGTTCCCAACTGGTGCAGGATCTCATCCACAACATGTTTGCAAATCATCCTTGGAGAAATTCGCTGTGAACACGTCAGGAGAAGATCTCATCCTG